CTAACTTCCAGTATGGACTTCCTCTGTGTACCATCATTCTAGTCCAGGTTCTCTTTTTATATTTTTTCTTCAATGACATTTCTCCTTCCTCCCTCAACACGCCCAGGGCTATGATGCTAGAATCCAAATGTGACAGCTCCACCATCACTTAGGGTAAAGAGTTTTTATGAAAGCATTTACAGATCTCTTCCATTTTTCATCAGTTTTCTATTCTCCTATTTTCATTCTCAAATGCCTTTGACATAACTATGCTCTCATCAAGCTTTCTATAAATTAGTTTCCCCCTTTACTGCTTTTCTCACTAAGAAAGTATTACTTGTAATCTTCCATACTACCCTCCTCTACCAGATTTTACAAATGAGTTTATATTTTAAAATGGCATTGCCCTTGGCCGTCCTATCTCTTGGCAATGAGATCAGACTTCAATGGCACAGGAAATTTCTAGGCTCTTTGGATCTCATTAGAGGAACAGGTTTGCCCGTGTTCAACTTCATTAAGAAATAATAATAGTTTGGGTAATTTATGTTCTTTATTTCAATTTCCATTTATTTTCCATCACATTATTTTGTTCAAATATATCAGACAGAAATTGTTTTACTCATACACCATATCTTTTTATTGTTTTTTTTTTTTTTGTCATTTGCGCAACAAGCACTTATTAAGCACTTACTATGTGCCAGGCACTGAGCTAACAACTGGGTTTGCAAAAAAAGGCAAAAGCAATCCATGCCACCAAGAAGTTTGCATTCTAATGGTAGAGACATCTAAATAGATAGGTACATATAAGAAACACACTGAATATGCTTTCATCGATACCAACTTGATTTTTGGTAAACAGTGCTGGATTTAGCAAGGATCTGGGTTCATACCTATGTGATAAGTCATTTGACCTCTCTGGACTTCAGTTTCTTCACCTATTAAATGAAGGGGACCCCTTCTAGCTCTACATTTGTGCTCCCATAAAATCAGCTGTCTAAATATACACAGCCAACTGATTTGGAGAGGACTCTCACATCAGTTACTAATCATGTGCTGTTGGTTAAAATACAATCAATTTCATTTTGTTGTTATTGTTGCCTAACAAATTTTGACAATGTCATTTGGTGCTCACTTCCAAATCTTTCGTTAAAGAACATATTCATGATAAATAGGTATGAGTCTTCTATAAGACTTTAGCATCTTTTTTATTATTATTCCTGAACCAAATTTTCTGACATATTTTTTGCCTTTCTTCTCTGCCCATCTTTGTAGCTGAAGTCTTGGAACACAAATTGTATTTTGATTTCATTTGAAGGATCTTACTGAGTTCTTCATAGAATTTTTCTAGCTCCTTATTCTCTACAACAGATGCTGGTGTATAAATAAGCAATTGTTATCTTCATAAAAGACTTTTTAAAATGTTTATCACAAGCACTGAAATAACAAAACAGCCAATACGTCCCATGAAATCTTTTTCTTAATCATTATCTTTGGATGCATGATTAAACCAACTCTTCTAACTTCTTTACTTATCACTCTAAGGAAAACCTGTGAGCCTTCTTTCCATTTAACTGCAACTTCCTTTTGTCTTCTGCTTTCATTTACAATAAGAATGTCAAGATTGATATAACTCAGATCCCGAAGGATCACTGGCATTCAACAAATAGGCTAACAGTATTTATGAATAAAACTTGCCAAAAGCAAAGAATATGACTCAGTGGCTCGCAAGTTATCACTTCAAAAGTTTCTACTGGTTCAGATTCTTATAATCTAGCCACGGGCTCAGACTCTTACAACCTAGTCAATAGCTCACAGGTGCTCAAGATTCCTTAAGAGGCCGGCCACTATGAGGGATGTTCTAATAAATCTTGTCTTTGGCTGAAAGAAGGCTTGGGTTGAATTCTTTTGGGCAGGACCCATGGGTTGTGATTTTGGGGTCTCAGAACCCCTAAACCTCAACATTTTGGTGGCCTGTATGGGGAAACTGCCTGATCCCAAGTTCTTCTCCAGCCAAGACTGGAAGATATTTAAGTCTCTCCCCCTTATTTCTTGCCCTGCAGTTGGGTCGCTCTCCAAGCACCTAGGAAGGCTTGAAGGCGCTTTTCAGGCAGACAGTTATGAGGCTATCTCGTACTCGGCCTGACTCTCTCAGGCTCTCAGTCCACTGGTTTGGTTCGAGGCCATGGACCTGGGTACACCTTCTGCAGCATAGAGGACAAGGATGGACGCCTATCTGGAAGCATATGCCCAATTCTGTCAATTCTCTCGGCGGGAAAACTGCAGGTGCTTTTTGGTTCCCTGAGGCTTACTTACTCCCTTCCCTCTACACCCCTGAACCCTCCTTCATGGAGGTTAAAAGGGGAAAGGTACAACAGCTAAAACATCTTAGCAGATTCTGGAGATTTTGTGATCATTAAGGAGTGTTTCAAAATTCTTATAACCTGGTCACTCCCTTCCCTTGAGTCAAGATAGGGTATCTGTTAACCCCTTTCACAGGAGAAGAGTTTCACCCCTTCCCCCTCACCTTTGATTTCACCCTCCCTCACCTGGGGAAAGGAAGGAGGGGGGAGGGGCGGCAGCTACAGGACGGGCCTCAATGGCAATGGCCTTGGGCCCGAGGGTAACCTTTGCCTGGACGCATCATCCAGGTTCAGCACATCCTGCTCAAGGTAAAGAAACTGGCCTTTGAACTTGGGTAAACTGCATTTTCATACCAAGTGTGACTGACATACCAAGAGCCGACCTTAATGAGGGATTCAATCCTGAATCAGTCTACCTTGCAACTGGAACCCAGAGACTGGTTTGAAAAAGGTACTTGCACAAGGATTCCTTAAAGCCAAAGTGGAAAGGGCCCTACCAAGTCCTCCTGACCAAACCCCCTGCTGTGAATTTGAAGGGAGCTGAAAACTGGCTGCATCTGTCACCTGAAGAGGGCTCCAACCCTGGACTGATCACCCAGTAACCTGGAAAGGACATATTATGCAATTTCTCTTTGGATCTACTTTATGACTATCTCTGACTTCTCTCACCAGTCAAAACACCCCTCCCTGACCTCCACTCCATTGTATGTGTTCTTTTTATTCAGATATAATCTCTTCGAAAGCACAAACTATTTTGCTCTTTATATTTGATGCTTAAGATAATGCTTGGAAGATAATAAGCACTTTATACTTTTTAAATTCATGCATGCATCCATCCATTTATCCATTTCCTATAAAATTTGTGCTTTCATTAATATTATTTTAAAAAACAATAAATGTTATTAGTATCCATATAGTAGTTCCTTAGATAAAATATTTCTAAGATGACCTCTTTTTAAGTGACCAAGAGAAATTTCAGTCAACTTCTCCTCATGAAGGGTTATGGATATTAATATCGCTGGGGCTCTTTGGGGATTCCTTTTGCCAGAGAATGGTTAAATAGTGGATCATTTAGTTGCTCCAGAGAAAGGAAAAAGTGATTTTTATATTATACCATCACAGTCAGTATTGTCCCTTTATTATAATATACACCTTAGGGTGTTAAAAACTCGTGATTTTCCTGATAGTAAATCTGTATGATCCCACACTTTTGGTTATTTCTAGTACTTTGATTCATTACATATCCTCACTATGCATGTAAAGCTTATGTAGTTATACAGAGTGGAAAAAAATGCAAAATAACCATTTTCCCATTACAGGTTAAATTAAATACTAGTAGATTTCCCACATCATGAAAATAAAACACTTTCTGAAGCAAAAAAAAAAAAAGTTTCTATTAAATGGGCTTATAGATATCTGAGCACTGACATGTGGATATAGAATGTGCCAAAAGACTATCCCAACTAGGTTCTACATGGTCCATGAAGAGATTTCCACAGCAGTTTCTTCTCACCATAATACTATGTTCCAAGGAACCATTTTTAAAAATTCTTTTGATACTTCCATGTCATAGCTAATTTTGGGTAGACCTACTTATAGCATTTTTCAGCCATATCTTCCTTCTGTGCCAACTTGTTTAAATGTGGCAAACTCACCACAAGTTTAAGTTTCTGCATTCTAACATATTTTAAGGATTTATGATTTCATCTATATAGGTCCTCCCTCCACAACGTAGAACTCAAGCCCTCCAACTGTGTTACTAAATGATTAAATTTTTCCTTAATAATTTTTTTTAATCATCACCTCTTAGCCAACCTTCTGATACTAAGATTCTACTCAGCTAGAATGGTCCTCAGACACACTTACACGCCATCCAGTACCAGGCCTATGGTCAAAAGCTTCTCACTTGATAGAACCTACCAGACTTTGTGCCTCAAGAACACAAGATCACTGTTAAACCACAAAGCACCAAGAGAGTAAAACTTTTGTTTATCCTATCATTTGGCAAAAAAAAGGAAAAGAAAAAGTCCAAGATAATGACTATAATACAATCACCTAATTCAACAAATATTTATCTACTCATCTAAAGTTCATATTATGACCAGTAATGTAGGGGATAAAGAGATGAAGACAATCACTGCCACAAAGGAGCTTACATAAAATATCACAGAAAAGGACAGCTCTCAAGGGTCCTTTCTGTCAGTTTTTCTATTATTACAAAACTTAACAATGCCTTTTGGCCTAACTTTATTATTCTTTTTCACTAACTTTTCAGTTACTAATATTTTAAAAACCAGGTTCCAATGCATAACTTCTTTCTGTTGAATCCTATATTGACAGTGAATGATGTCCTTATGATAACACACTTGTTTCCAATGTGATGCAGTGAGACATCATCCTTTATAATCAATGAGCTAAGGCTTTCTTTAGGAAAAAGCAAGAGAAGAAACCAAGTGAAATTTCTTATTTTTAAAAATCTGAAATAATTACCGAAGAAATTTTCTACTTAGACTTTTCATTTTAACCTTTGTTATTTGATGTAAAAAATCACCTTTAGAGTTGTATTCCACTAAACCATTTTTTTTTATTTACCATGATGTGGGCTATACCAATGCACTATTAATATCTTCTTTCACCCCACCCATCACCACCCTGTTTTACCTGTTATCATAATACTGATGTGGGTGATACTGCATGACATCATGAAGAAAACGATCCAAAAGGCTATTGGTACCCAGCCGATACCTACAGTATGTAGCAAAGTATCTGTGTTGGGGGCTGATTATATGCTGCAAAGAAAGAGAGACTGGGTTATTACTGAAAGGGAGGCACAAATGAAACAAAGATGAATTCATGAAAAGGTTACAGGGTTCAATTCCATTCAAACCAACAAACATTCACTGAGTGCTGATTATCTGTGAGGTACTGAAGACAAAAATTCCCGATTTTAAAATAAAAGATGCTAGAAAAAGCTTAAGTGGTTGTTTCTAAATTCTACTCTTTCCTTGAATTTCTCACACTTCGGAGCATTTCTTGGCACTCTATACATTCTGCCTTGTCTTATATCCACTGCTATACATTTTTCACTCTCCCTATTAAGAGTGTAGATACACATAATTTAGAGCAAGAAAAGGCCTGAGAGAGATCATCAGGTCTAACCTGCCAATTTGAAATGTGCAAGTGAAGTCCACCAAGGTGAAGTAACCCCATCCAAGGTACTGCCCACCCCCTTCCCCAGCAGCAGCAGCAGTTCTAAATCAAGCACTTCTTTCAAATCCAATGTTTTTCCTAAGAGATCAAGCTCCTCAATCACAAGGATTATGTCTGATTTCATCTTTGCACTTCTAAACCTGGAACATGCCTTGGTCTAACTCAAGGGTGGGGAATCTGTGGCCTCAAGGCAATATGTGGCCCTCTTGGTCCTCAAGTGAGGTCCCTTGAATGAATCCAAATTTCACAGAACAAATCTCCTTAATAAACTGATTTATTCTGTAAAACTTGAAAAACTTGGGCTCAGTAAAAAGCCCGCACCCAAGGGCCCAGAAGGCCACAGGTTCTCCACCCCTGGTCTAGCTAAAGGGGTTAATAAATAAATGTTTGCTGGACTGAACTGAATTCATTACATGATGTAAAGGTTCAGTTACATTTGCTTAATTATCTCCGGCAATATGACAAGACTGAAAACACAACTGTGCTATACGCTTCAGTCACATTAACAATATTGGAAAACTGAATTGTCTCATAAATAGGTAGCTTATATATGCTTATGGAGAAGGATGTTTTCCAAAATGTAATCTATACAGAGAACTATCAGAAGCACTTCCTTCCCAGGATTATCTGAAAGTCCTGACCTACTACAGCAATCTTGTCCCATTCATAGTCTCAACTAATAATGACTATCACAACCTCATCTGGCTCCAGGCTTCCAGATACTTACTCTTCTAGGCCCTGACACTGAAGAGTAACCTGAGAGATAAAGAGAACAAGCCCAGAGAGGAAAAAAACAAGCAAAGTCACACTTTAAAAACTTAGTCTAGACTTTATCTTTCTCCTCCAAGAAAGGTTATATCCACATAGAAAAATAGGTGATAACAAAGTAATAATGGCTCTGTCTGTACTTATACAAGCCACACCTAAAAATTCACCCACAAACTTTAATATTTCCTCCCTTTGTTTCCAATATAGCCACCATCTATCTCAAGAGAAAACACCAAGTCTCCTCAAAGAGACTTTTAAAGCTGTAACCAAATACATGTGTAAATCAAAATTAACAAAAAAAATTAACATTCTAAACATTAGAGAATGTACTTGAATTTCTATCATGTCAACTTCACTGGTAAAAACCTATTATGTCTACCTGTTATTGTTTAGCAAAAGAATAGACAAATAATTCCTTATCAAGTGATAATATTGGAAGGGAAAAGATTAAAGAAGGGAAGGCAGACACACTGTTATCAGAGTTGTGAAATGACCTAACCATAACGAACAGCAATTTAGAATTATGCTTAAAAAAAGTGACTAAGTGCCCGTGGACCCTCTGATGCACAGATACCACTGCCAGGCATAGATTCCAAAGGAAGTCAGACAGAAAGAAAGGTATCATATACTCCAAAATATCCACAGAAGCACTTTTTGTAGTAGCAAAAAAATTGGAAACAAAATGGATATCCACTGATTGAGGAATTGTAGTATGTGAATATAACTGAATACTACTGTATCATAAGAAATAATGAAGAAGCATGGGACAACTCACATGCCCCATGACTACCACAATGTAAATGAAAAGGGAAAAGAAGTAAATATTACATAATGATGAAAATCAAGTTTGGCCTTAAAGACATCAAAAAATGAACCTCTATTTTTTACAGAGGTGGGAAACTAAGGAAATTGAAATACAACAGTGGAAGAGCATAAACTGTCAGACTCAGTTGATAGGTTGGTTAGTTTTGATAAAGATTTTGCTTGTTTTTCTTTTTTTTTTTATAAATTTATTTATTTTTAGTTTTCAACATTCACTTCCACAAGATTTGGAGTTCCAAATTTTCACCCCACTTCGCTCTTCCCCCCACCCCAAGATGGCATGCATTCTGAATACCCCTTCCCCTAGTCTGCCCTCCCTTCTATCTCTCCCCCCCTTCTCTTATCCCCTTCCCCTTCTATTTTCCTGTAGGGCAGGATATTTTTCTGTACCTCATTTTCTGTATTTCTTATTTCCCAGTTGCATGTGAAAACATTTTTTTTAAACATGTGTTTTTAAAACTTTGGATTCCAAATTTTCTCCCTTCCTCCCTCCCCCACCCACCCTCATTTAAAAGGCAAGCATCTAAATATAGGATATACATGTGCAGTTATGCAAAACACTTCCATAGTAGACATGTTGTGAAAAACTAACTCTATTTCCCTTAATCCTATCCTGCCCCTCCCATTTATTTTACTCTTTCTTTTGACCCTGTCCCTCCTCAGAAGTATTTGCCTCTGACTACCCCCTTTCCCAATCTGCCCTCCTCTCTATCATCCCCCTACTCTCTTATCTCCTTCCCCTCCATTTTCCCATAGGGTAAAATTTTTTGTTTTCTTAGTATATATATTGGGATAACAGATCAGGAATGAAAGTGATGTAAAAAAATTTATATAAATTTAAAATTAAAAGGGAAAGAAGAATTTCATTATAACATTTAACCTTATAATCTAGTCACACATCTTTTAACCTGAAGAAACCTTTCAAGTATATGTCCCAAGTAGAATGTAAAGAAAACCTTAACTTTAAAAACCTGAATGTCATTTCTAAAAACAGAAATTCTAAAACACTGCTATTGTCAACAACACTTGAAATAAGAAAAAACATGGGTTAAAAGCAAGTTTCTGTAATGCCCTGCCAAGTTATTAGGCAGCTCTCACCTGTTCAAGGTTAATATAGTGCACATGGCAACAGTTACAATACCCTTGTCGGTTCTGCATGATGGATCTACTAGAGTCAGCTGTCTTGTGGTTCCGAACCCTTAAAACTAAAAGAGATATGAGTAGCATCACAATACCAGTAAGAAATTTGCTAAATATCTGTTAAGTTCATTTGTTTGTTTTAATGGGGGGGGGGGGGAAGAGAAGTTAAGAAGGAAGCAAAAACAAATGCTTTTTAATGAAATAAAGTAAGTTTTTTAAAAATTTAACGAAATAATATCTGTGGACAGAACCTTATTCTGAATACTATACTTTTCTACTCCCAATGTAGTATGTGCTGAGGCTACAACAGGCTATCTAGCCCATCTTTGAGAACTGCGATGATTGCTGAAAAATGAGGGTCTTCTAAAGAATAGTTTTCAGCATTTGGGAAAAGTAAAGACTAGATATATAATCATTTTTTGAGAACTAGTCATTTTTTCTATTAGGGTTTGATTCTGTGGGAATAACATCATCCTGGGCAATACCACAAGCAGTCTTTTAAGAATAATTAACTCTTCTTGGATACTAGTATACTAATATAGTTTACTCACCTTACAGCATGTACCTTGAACGTATTATTTTAATATCTGAAATATATTTCTACTTTTGCAAAGTTCCTTTGCTTTTTAATTAAATATCCAAATAGAGGATTTATTAAACAAAGACAAGTGAACACTGTAAATGTGATATTAACAACTCACTCCTACAACCTCTGATTCTTTATTTTAAACGTCCCCAAGCCATATGATCTTTTCTAATTAGCTCAGAAATAAAGAAGACAAATGTTTAAAGATATTTATAATTAGAGGAGGAAGTCCATGCAAGTGGACTTGTCTCATTACCTTAAGGAATTCCCTCCATCAATGCAGACGGGCAACTCCTCTGTAACTCACAGTCCCAGAGAGTTGTCTGGGAAGCTAAAAGGTGACATAACCTCCTCAGTCACCCAATACTTATACGTTCATAGCAGATCTTCCTGATACCAATGGTGGTCTCAATCCTCTACACCACACCAGTGGGACTTTAAATTAATTTAATAATTGAAATTTTATACAAATTATACTATAAATATTTTACTCAGATTACCAAAAAATAACAATATATGGGTGTTTTTTAAACTGTTTTCACTTTCTCTGGAAATGAAAAATATAGTTTTGATAAATCTACTACAGTAATCTCTACTACAGATCACTATAGTAATCTTTCACAAACATTTGGCACTATTTATTCTGTGACATTATTCACAGGATTTCCCAGGATTTAGAGGTAGAATGCTTTTAAAAAATATCTAATCCAGAGGGCAGCTAGGTGACGCAGTGGATGGAGCACCGGTCCTGGAGTCGGGAGGACCTTAGATCAAATCAGGCCTCAGACACTTCACACTTACTAGCTGTGTGACCCTGGGCCATTTAACCCCATTGTCTAACCAAAAAACAAAAAAACTAATCCAAATCCCTCCATTTTACTGATGAGGAAACAGAGGCCAAGGAAGGTGATGGCTTCCCCATATTTAAACCACTACACAGAGAAGACATCTGGTTTTCCACTGGCTTCTCTTTATACTTTATTATTATATGATCCCGTAATTTGGGTCATTATGATTAAAGCAGAATAAACAGGCCATTATTCTGCAACTAAAATGATTTGTACATTAAAATCAATAAAATACAAAATACAGAAGTCTTAAATGTTCAACTGTTTATATACTTTAAGTTAAAATGTCCATTTCTACCCCTGGAATGAACTTACCTGATATTTCTTTCTCTCCTCTGAGAGCCTGCCTTCCAAAACCTACAAGGAAAATGAATCAAGCATACTGTGGAAATAAGAAGACAAAAGAAATGATCTGCAAGTTTATCTTTCTCTGTACTGCCTTACTACCATTAACTGAATGAAAACTACAATGCAAAACCCCTCAAAAAGTTTTATTTTAACAAGTATAGTCATAGATATAATCATAGACATATAATCACTAGACTTCAAAAGCCTAGTTTTAAATCTGACCCATTAAAAAATAAGTATTTTTAAATGCAATGAGATTCTTGAAGATAAAGTGCAGTTTTACAGAAAAGTCTCAAGTCTATAAAATTTTTCAAGTTTTCCTCAAAATAGGTTTTCTCAAAACAATCTTTAATGATCCAAATTTAATAATATGCAAATATTTTTACAATTTTCCCCAATATGACACCAATGATTACACATAAAATGCCTGTGAACAAAACCAAGCTTGAAAACACAAAACTACTATATACATTACAATTTCTATTTTATTAATAAAATTATTAAATATTATAATTCTTACATATGCTTAATACTCAAAATAGACTTCTAATGAAAGAAATAATGAAACTTCTTCAAACTAAAGCTTAAGCACTTGAATGTCCAATTTTAAGGTATAATCTATGTGAATTTAAATGATGAGTAAAATTCATTAGAGATACTAACAGCACAAATATGACAAAAAAAAAAGTAATAATGAGATATTTGTCATCCAATGTACTACTATAGGCAGTAGCACATAGCCTAAGGAAACACACAAAGGAACAGAGGTTTTAGCCCAAAAAGCCAAACAAGATTCTTATGTAGTAGTAAACCCTACCATTTGGATGCCAAATGAATAGTGAAACACCTGTCTAATTAATCAGTGCAGACTGGTGGAAAAGGTTTTCACTTAGAATCTATGCTTACACTAATCTGGATTTGGGTTGAATGCACTGATCTTAGTAGCTTTACAGAACTCCACTGGTACTGAGTAGTTTAATAAAATTAACAAATACTTCACCTTGTATGGAAGAAGCAGTGGCCACCTCAGCAGTTTTAATCCTGTTAGACATCTGTGAATTAAAAAGAAAAAATGAAAATCCCTAGAAGAGTATCCCCTCAGTCTGCTCTCCAGTTTAGCACTGACTATGAGTACTTTCATTGACTAAAGGAGTACTTTCATTTTAAGCATACCCAACGCTATGTCCAGTAGTAAACACAAAGTCTCACTATTAGGCAATATTTCAAACCAGACAAGATTTGGAAAGATTATCTTTCAACAAAAAGCACTTCCAACAACTTTTCTGAGTCTCACAACATAACTTCATCAGAAGAATGCTAGGTCTAGTAAGGATGTTTGAGCCATTGAACTCATTATCAAAACCTAAAACTTTAAACAAGGAAACAGTAGTTGCCAAACATACAACATAAGTTATATAGCATAGCTCTTAACTAGGATAAGGAAAGGGGACAAACAACCGTGGGAATTTGTTTTGCTTGACTATACTTAATTTGTTATCAGGACTTTGCTTTTCTTTTTTCTGGGGCAGGAGAAGGAGGAAAGAAAGATAGTAAGGAGAAAAAAATGCTTAAATGAAAAAATAAAATTTAATAAAAAAACAAAAATACAGAGAAAAAGGAAAATTTATATAAACTGACACAAAGTGAAATTAAGGATAACCAAAAAACAATAATATAAAGAGCAAAAAAAATCACAGTAATTTTAATGGTCATATTTGGCCCTGAAAAATAGATATGAGAATGTACTTCCTTCTATTCTGTTCAAAAGAGGGAGACTATGGGTGTGGAACACTGAATGGAATATGCAATTGTAATCTACTGACCTGTTGGTTAGTTCCACAGAATTGCTTTTTTCCTCTAATGTTTTTTCATTATTTGCACAAGTAATAATCAAGTCAACATAAAAGACTAAATCATATGTAGTTAAAAAAAAAAAAGAGGAGGCAAAGAAAATAGTAATCTCAAAAGAATCTTCAAGACCAGAAGGAAGAAATAAATTATCTCAACACAAAAAATCATTTATTACATTAAGTGTAAGGAATTTCCAATGTGAGAATTCTTTCCAGCGCCCTACAGATAAGATCATAATCCATGCATGAGGCACATGGAAGTGAGGTGAGGGACATATAACTTATAACATCTGAGGAAGGATATGAACCCAGGTCTTCTTTAGTCCAAACCCAGTGCTCTATCTTCTAAGGCATTCTGCCATCTAAGAAAGAAAGAATTATTCTATATAAAATGAACCAAAATCTTAGGTAGTATGTGAATAATCAGTCTATTTTCCATTACTGACATTAACAATAGTACGAAGAAGGAAAAAATTATTTGTCCTGCCTATGAATTACTACAGGTGATGGAAGGCAGCTGGAGGCAGCAACTATGGCCTCAGCCTAGATGCATAACAAGGCAGTTCAATCAATCAAGTCCTTTATTAAGTATTTGGTAAATGTGTCAGTCAGTGTGCTAGGCAATGAGGATACAATGAAAAAAATGAAACCATCTCTGGCCTCAAATAGTTTATGTTCTATTGAGAGAGACAAGTACATGTATGCAAGCATATATAAAAATATATAAAAGGTATAGAGAAGAGGTAAAGAAAAAGAATGCATTCTAATTGATAAAATTTTGAAGAAATAAAAAAAATAGTCTGAGTTCAATTTAGGTAAAGCCTTAAATACAAGCTTTAAGAATTCAGATTTTTATCCTATAGGCAATAAGGAGAAAGTTTTCAAGCACAGCATTTTAAGTGGTATGATAGGAAGATTTCTTGGCATTAGTGTTCTCCTGACTCAATGGAATAATTCCTCCAAACCAGGTCTTAAACATTAAGGAATGTTATCTTTTTTTTCATATCACATATAAAACTATTTTTATTTGATTTAATGGTCCAAGAGTGTAGGGGCAGCTAGGTGGCACAGTGAATAAAGCACTGGCCCTGGAGTCAGGAGGACCTGAGTTCAAATCCAACCTCAGACACATGATACTTACTAGCTGTGTGACCCTGGGCAAGTCACTCACCCCAACTGCCTCACCAAAAAAAAAATAAATAAATACATAAATAAAAATGGTCCAAGAGTGTGTCCCTACAACCACTCTGAGCCTAAATTACTTGTTTGAGTTAGACCTGGCCAGTCGTAAATGTAGTTAAGCATCTTCTGAGACTAAATCAATAAGCTTTTATTTAAGCACTTATTATGTGCTAGGTACTGTGCTAGGCACTGTGGATGTAAAAAAATTTTTTTCTAGTGAGGCAATTGGAATTAAGTGACTTGCCCAGAATCTCACAGCTAATGAGTTAAGTTATGTGTCTAAGGCTGCATTTGAATTCAGGTCCCCCAGACTCCAGGGCCAATGCCCTGTTGGCACCCCCTCGCTGCCCCAGATGAAAGTATTTTTTTAAAAAATGTGCTCTCAAGGAAGTTTTCATTTTATTCAGGAAGACAGTTTACACATATGTATGTATATATGTAGCAAATACAAGGCAGTTAAAAACAAAGTACTTAGGAAGGAAGGGCTACAGAAATAAATGGATCAGGAAAGGCTTAATGTAGGTGAGACTTGACTTGTGTCTTGAAGGAAGAGAGGGATTCTGTGAGGTAGGGGTTAGGAAGCAGTGCATTCTAGACATGAGGAACAGCCTGTAAAAAGGCAAAGATATAGGAGATGGAGTGCCATGTAAAAGAAACAGAAGGACAGTTCATTCCGTTGAACTACAGAGTCAGGGAGAGGAAAAACAGATAAATGAGGTTTTTGTTTAAAAAGGCTATCACTTCAAGTCTCAGAGTTGCTTGGGGCCTTGCCCGAGGGGCATACAGCCAGTGTATGTTAGCAGCAGGACTTGAAGCTAAGGGTTCCTGACTGCCAGGTGGACTTTCTCCCCACTGTACTAAGACTGCCTTTTACTATCTTCAGTTTGCCTCTTTTTCATCTAATTTGGTGGGTAAATACCCTTTGCAGGCACGGAAGTCTCTCTAGACCTTTTTCATTCCTCTTTTTTTATTCACTGGCATAACTCTGTTTAATCTTCAAAATAAAATTCTTACATATTTCACATTACTCCTAGACTAACTTCCCTCTAAAATTTTAGTCCATGGAATTTTACCTCTTTTCTCTGAATATGAAATCTCTTCTCCCACCACAATCTAGGGTCTGTATTCAACTATGCCCAGCTTTCCTCTCTGTTATCATGAGCTCTAAGATAAGGGAGTCGGCTCCTTCTAAAGGCTCCATCATTTCTACTCAGCAAATAATGCATCCATATTAGTCATAATTAAACCTAGAATAGCATTTCTCCTTGGCCCTGCTTCCATCATTTAAAGATATAACTATCTCTCTAAGGACAGACAAAACAGCCCCATGGTAAACTCAGAGATGAAAAATACTCCACTTTTCACTAACGTGAAAATACATTTAATAGGAATGTATATGTATAGCCTATATCAGATTGTGCGCTGGTCTTGGGAAGGGAGGTGGGGAGGAGAGAGGGAGAAAAATTTGAAGTTCAGAAGCTTATGGAAGTCTTGATTGTTGATCATTCAAAATAAATTAATTAAAAAAATTTTTTTTAAAATACTCCACTTAGTCGAGCAAGAAGATAATATGACAAAAGTAAGACAGAGTGAGCTGAAGATGACAAGGTTGAATTTCTAATGCAGAAGAAAAAGAAGTTTGAATCCTGCTAAAATACTTAGAGAGACAATAAATACAATGGTTTTAATGAGAACAGCAACTTATAGGGCTTGTATTCAATAATAAATTTTGTAGAAAGGCTGAAGATAATAAGGAGTCACTGGAGTCAAATGAACAAGGCAATGACATGGTCAGACTTTTACTTTGGGAAGATCACTTTGACAGGTTGAGTGGAAAACTGATTGGAAGATGGACAAATTTAAGGCAGAGAGATCAACCAAAAGGCTACGGAAATATTGCCAAGTGTGAAGTAAGGAGGGCTTACATCAGGGTGGTAGCAGTGTCAGAGGAAAGAAGGGAAAGACAGATGTTATGAGAGTACAATCAAGAGGACTTGGCAAATCATTAGATTGAAGGGAAGTAGAAGGAACAGTCTAAGGAAAGGAAGATGACACCTAGGGTGTGATCCTGGGTAAGTAGGAGGATGGTAAAATCTGAAAGGTGGGATAGAGGGAAAAGATAATGAGAACCGTTTTGAATATGCTGAATTTAAGATATCTTTAGGCCATCCAGTTTGAGCTGTCTGTAGCTAGAAAAGTGAGACTGGAGGTAGAGGAAATAAATAAAAGGTCACACTGAACAAATCTGAGAATCATTTACATAACAATGATAACGAATCTAAGGGAGGTCAAGATGAGCAAGTGACACTATACAGAAAGAGAAGACAAGAGGCCCAGGACAGAGCTATAGGGGACACCCAGGGTTAGGTTAGTAAGCATGATCTGGGTGAAGATCCAGCAAGGGAGACCAGAAGGAGCAGTCAGACAGGTAGGCAAATCAGGAGACAAAAAAAAAACACAAAATCCTAGAGAGAAAAGAGTATTATGGAGAGGGGGATGATCAACAGTCTCAAAGGCCGCTGAAAGCTCAAGAAGAATAAAAATTGAGAAAAAGGCATTAGATCTGGAAATCAAAGAGATCATAGGTAGCTTTGGAAAGAGCAGTTCCAGCTGAATTATGAGGTCAGAAGTCAGATTGCTTCTTGGGAGTTCAAAAGAAAATGAGTGGAGAAGAAATGGAAGCACTGATTATAAATGGCCTTCTCAAGTTTGGCCATGAAAGGGTAGAGTGATAAAGGGCAATAGGTAGTAGACAAGGTCAGACCAAGTGAAGGTTTCAAAATGATGATAGAGACATGAATGTGTTTGTAGGCAGCAGAGAAACAACCAGTAGACAAGAAGACACTGAAGATTATTGAAGGAATAGGAATAATAGAGGGGGCTATCTATGGAAGAAGACAGAATGGAACTGGATAACCTGTATACATAGAAGGGTCTGCCTTGGCAAGAAGGGCCACCTTTTCATGGGAGACAGGTGGTGGAAATAGTGGCAGAAGGTATCTAAGCAATATAAGATAAATCATAATTATGACCAAGCAAAATTTAAATTATGTCCAATATATCTTGTTTACTAAAGCAAAAACTGTGTTATCTACATGAGTAACATTGCCATCAAAAGAGTGAAAACAAAAACAGTTATATAGAAAATTCATTTATTTAGAAAATATAACTTCCACACCTACATCAGATAACTGCAATGCCAATGCATTTATATTATTTTACAATTACTGAGGGTTTTTTTAAGAAGAAAAAAAAACTAACCACTCAGAATTTTCTTATGAAAAGCAGAGGCCACTAAAAGGCAGCTGATTAACTGTAATCATCAATCACATCCATACGAGTGCTGAAACACACATCCATTCTCGTGGTAGAAGAGTAAGAGATGATGGGTGCATACCTGTCAGAAGCAGTTGCTATGCCAGTTGTTTTTGATTTACTGTTTTTCTGGATTACAAAGGAGAGAATTCAATGGTAGAAATTGGAAGAAGGGGGCAGTACATTAGGAAAAGACTATGGGTAAAAACAAAAGGCATCAATAAAAAACTGAAGTAAAATCAGAGATGTCCCTTTCCCACACTGCAGTCTACAAGGCTACAATAAACATATATTTAATGTAAAGGATCCAGTGATGCTCTGAGAATTGCCTTAGTACCCAAAAAGACTGTTCACCTGAGAAGAAGCCAGGCAAATGTGAGAATTCTAGAGTCTTTCCCAAAGGTTTATAATATACACAAAAGGTTATGGTATACCCTGGTTCAGTCTAGTATCTCAAGACTTATCCATATTTGACTATGACCCCCAAAGAGTGATCAAAATTTTCCTGCAATTTCTAGGCTCTCCTGGAAAACCAGGATCTAAAAGGGTCCAAGTGGTGAATACTCTAGGTTTTATTTGTCTCAAGCCTTCTACTAAGTAGAAGGTTTTATCTTACCTCATTCCTACAGGGCTCCCAAAGTCATCCTATATTCTAAAGGCTAGAAGGAGCACCAAACAAATTGAGTTGGGAAACCAAACATGTATTTTAAATTTCTTAAAGAAAAACCAAAATATAAAATTGATTATTCTGCTAAAACTTCCTTTCACTGATATTGATCTTTTAGTGTCCAACCAAAAACAAATAATATTCATTAGTTGGAGCTAAGTGACACAGTATACAGAGTGCCTGGAGTCAGGAAGACTTAAGTTCAAATCCAGCCTCAGACATCATAAAATGGAGATGAACCTACCTTGCAGGTTACTGGGAGAATCAAATGAGATAATATCTCTAAAGATCTCAGCACAGTGCCTGGCACATGATAAGCACTATATAAATGTTAGCTATAATAATTATTATTAGATTTTTAAAATTAAATATTATCTTTCTGACTCATGCCTAATTTTAATCAAATAACTCAGTTACTTGGTTACCTTCCTGAGTTCTCAACTATAATCTTCAAAGTTCTTTTAAGTTTTTCTTTCACAAGCATGATAAACAAGAATGTGGTATTCTGACAATAATTTCTCCTATACTGTCTGATGGCACAAATTATCAAATACCAATGCTTAATGAGGGAAATTATGACATTTCTTTCCCTGTCTTTCAAATATAGGTTATTTATCCATTACCATTTAAGTCTTGTTAAAGTCTTATCTAAAAGCAGAGGAATAGCTAAGACTCAAGGTTGCCCACTGTATTCCTATTCATGGTATGTTCTTATTTTCTCTTCCTTTTGCAAATTTGCAAACTGATGAAGCAGGTGAAGAACTACAACTGAAGAGGGTAACTGTTATAGCTACTTATCAAGCAACTAGTGCAGGAAAAAAAAGAAACATGAAAAAGTATTCTAAAATGCACTAGTGCTAGAAAAGAAAGCTCCAGGATGCAATCTAAAAGAGCAGATGGCCATTTTTTGCCAACTTTGTTTTATACTTTTTCTTTTTAAAAAGAAAAAATGAAAGGCATTTAATCAAATGAAAGTTGCTGTTGGATATTTTTAACTCCATGAGGGGAAAAAAAAAATCTTCATTTAAGGTTCTCATCTTGATAATTTTACATTTTCCTAGTCTCAAATCTAAAATTCAACAAGTGGCTCCCATGTGCAATGCAATTTGCTAAGCCTGAGAACAGAAAGATAAATAAGCCATACTTCTTGCTTTCAAAAAACTTAACCAGCTAGTATCACAGGCTTTATAGCATCGTAAATTTGAAGATCAATTTAAAGAGGTCACCAGCTCCAACCCCAACATTTTACAAATGAGGTAATAAAGGCCTAGAAAATTTAAATGACTTACCCAAGGCCATACAGTCAGTAAGTGAGAAAGCCAGGAATCGCATCCAGGTCCTCTGATTAAACCCAACACTCTTGCCACTGCACCACACTAAAGGGATATAAATCACAAGTTAATCAATCAACAAGCATTTATTAAGCACACGTCAAGCACAGGACTACAAAGACAAAAACCAAACTAGTCCCTATTCTCAAAGAGTTTACATATTGTCGGGAAAATCAGAATAACACCATGGAGTGGAACAGAAATGTTTTTTAATCACTAGGATCTAAAGTCATTTTCTCTTTGGAGCAAACACAAACAAGAAAGCAAGATACCTGTGTTTATTATCTGATTAACAGCATTCATCAAAATTTTTCCTTTTTTTTAATAATACTGAAACTTTGCGACTTACCAGCAATGTTAAAACTCCCAAAAGAAAATTAAAATTATGATAACTTTGTATCAAATTAGACAAGTAAAATATATCACGGGGCAGCTAGGTGGCGCTGTGTATATAGCACCGGCCCTGAAGTCAGGAGGACCTGAGTTCAAATTCAACTGCAGAGCAAACACTTGACACTTACTAGCTGTGTGACCCCGGGCAAGTCACTTAACCCCAAATGCCTAAAATAGATATATATAAAAATATTCTAATCAAAAATAAGTTATTTTCATAAAATAAGATTTTTAACTTTCTAAGGGAGGTCCCTTAATTTAGCATTACTTTGAAGAGATGAGTTTTCCTGTAACTATTTAAAACCAGAAAAGAAAAAAAAAACCTTAGATCACAAATCCACTCTGACTCAAGTGGAAAAAAAAATTAATCCTTACGCATTTTTCCTCTCTACATGCAAATTTCACATTTCATTCACATGCAAAACAGAAGAAGCAATAAGGTACCTACATTTCTTACCAGAAAGGTAAGTGCTGGTTATTTTCATTAATAACCTGTTGGAAAGATAAGTACAAAGGGCCCAAATTGTCAGTTTAGTTTTATAAGTCTTAAACATAAACTAAAGGAAGATTACTAGACACTAACCTTGATAGTAGCCCTTTCCCCCACAAAATAAGACTATTTCAAATATATCAGACATTAGACTTCAAAGTTGTAGCCTTCCTCAGCTTTAGGACATTAAGTCAGTGCAGACATCTGGGTCAGAAACCTAAAAATGAAGAAAAACACAGGACTTATTGTTTATGGACATTCTCTAGCAATCATTAAAAAAGGTTAAATTTCTTAAAACTATCCCAACCATAAGTCTCCCTTATGTTTATGAAAAATTTATAAAGAGATTTAATGATAATTTTTATATAAAAGACAAAAACAAATCAATAAATATTTACTATATACTTATTACGTAAAGTATAGTACATGGTGCCCTTGTCTTCAAAGAATTAATTGGGAAAGCAAGACATAACCCCTACCATCAAAGTAATCACAAATAACTATAATACACAATATTAGAAAATATAACAGTGTTGCATACAAAATGACAAATAAAGGAAATTCAGAAGGAACTTGCTGATACCAAAAAGTCCATGCACCAAGCTCATGTATTCTATTTTACAGATGATAATTTACTTTTATTTTATTCAATCAGTCAACAAGCATTAACTAAGAACTATGTGAACTCAGGCACTATGCTAGGAGATGGGAATATAACTACAAAGAATGAAACAATTCCTAGGTGGAATAAGATTACATTTGCATGGGTGAAGTAATAAGTACATATAAAATATATACAGAATAAACAGAAAGTTAACAAGTACAAGTACATACAAAGTAATTAAGCACAAGATAATTTAGAAAGAAGGATACTAGCAGTTGGGGAGATCAGGAAAGGCTTCATGAAAATGGTGCCTGAAGTGCATCTTTTTTTTGTCCAATTGACTTTTTTTTTCCTTCCCTTTCTACCTTCCCCGCTACACTGAAAAGAAAAGAAAAAGAACTTTTCAAAAAAATAGGAATAGTCGGGGAAACAAATTCCCCATTGGCCACATACAAAAATGTTTGTCTCTTTCTGCACCTTGAATTCATCACCTGTTGGAGATATGTAATATGAATCATCACTGGCCCTTGGAATTGTGGTTGGTCATTATAATTATCAATGTTTTTAAGTCCTTCACAAGTTGTCCTTACAAGAACAGGACAACTAGAGATGGCCCCCAGGCACGAGTGACAGCCAGTGCAAAGGAACAAATACCAGAGATGGATTACCATGTGTGAGAAACAGAGAAGGCCAGTTTGTCTGGATTAAAAAGTATCAGACAGGGAATAAAGTCCAATGAAACTGGAAGATAGGACAAGCACAGCTGCATAGGGCTTTAAGAGCTAAAAAGAGGAGTTTTTACATTTTATCCAAGAAGCAACTATAAGTCTGGAGTTGATTAAGAAGAGGAATCATATCAGATTTGTACTTAAAAAAAATTATTCTGAAAGCAGCAAACAGGATAAACTATAAAGTGGTGACACTTAAGGCAGAAGGACCCATTAGGAGGCTGTTGCAATAAGGAATAGCTGACAGTGACAGCCTAAACTAGAGGTAGCTGTGTGAGTAGAGAAAAGGGGTTAAATATGAGATATTGTGAAGATAGAAACAGCAAGATTTGGCAATCAAATGGATTCATAAGGTAAGAGAATTATAAACCTAAGACACTTCGATGAATGGTGGTAGTTTTATAGAAACAGTTAAGTTTGGAAAGGGGAAAGATATAGAAAGATAATTAGTTCAGTTTTGGACATGTTGAGTTTAAGATAGCCTCCAGGGCAACCACTTAGAAATGTCCAGAAACAACTGGAATTCTGGAACTGAAGCTTGGGGGTGATACTGGGGCTGGATGAATACCCTGGTAGTCACCTAAACCCATGGGAACTGATGAGATTACCAAAAGAAAAGGTATAGAGGGAGAAGGGGATCCACTGTCAGGGCACATGAGGTGGCCACTCCACCAGCAAAGGATACTGAGGAATGGTCTAACAGGTGGGAAAGGAAACATCATGAAAACTGAGAGAGTATGCAAAGGGAGAAGATGGTCAAATCATGTCAGATTTGAGCTGTCGGTACACTGAGAAGGAAAGTAAGTGAGAAAAGATTATTGGATCTGGCTATTGAGGGATCACTAGTAACTCTGGGGGATGCAATTTCAACTGATGGATGAGATCAAAAGTGAGAATGCAAAAGGTTGAGGGGTGACTGAGAGGAAGAGGAAGCAGCAAGTGTAGACAACTTTCAAGGAACTTTCTTGAGAAAGAGAAGAAAGATATTAGACAGTGGTTTGAGGGGATGGAAGTTCTGGAGAAGTCTTTTTCTTGTTTTTTAAGGATGTGGGAGCCTGGAGCAGGATGGAAGGCAGGAGGAAAGAAACCATCTTAGGGGAGAGAGAAACAAAGAAAATAGACAGATAGACAGGCAGAAAGTGAAAACAGAAGAAGACAACAGGATCAAGTGCACTTGAAAAGGTGTTGGTCTTAGCAAGGAATAGGGCCACCTCTATGTCACAGGCTAGGAGAAAGTGGGAAATAATACTCAAGGGATTTTGAGATGAAGAGAATAGCAAATTAGAAGAACATTAGAAGGAGTCTATGGGGTTATTCATGGCAGCAAATTAAATCGCAATGGTAACACCTAACATCAAAAAAGAAGCCAAAAAAAATTTATAAAGCAGAAATATATAGGGGGGGAAAAAGCACAAAAATTAGAACCATTCATTCAAGGTAAGGAAAAACAACCTAGTACCCTCCAGAAGACACTGCATTCATCTCTTGACTTCTCTAGCACTAGGTGCTCCTGCTCTCATGTTCCCTCCTTCAATGCTACCAACACACATTGTGCCAAGAGAAGGAGTAACACTCATTTGAGACACACCCAATCCACTATCTCACTCAGTCCAGAATGTATCAAAGTCATCTAACAACATCCAAGTAATTACCCTTCTATGATCCTCTCATCTTCTCTAGAAACTTGTGTCCTAAATTACTCTTTTTCACTCTTCTCATCAATTCCTTACCTAATGCCTCCTTCTCTGATGCCTACAAACTTGTCCAGGCCTCCCTCATTCATAAAAATCCTTCACTTGATTCTGAGGCTATCAATCAAATCTAACAATCATTTATTAAGCGCCTACTATATGACAGGCACTGTAGGCATTGAGAGGTATGAAAACAAAAATGAATCAGTTCCTACACTTAAGAAATATTCTATCAGGAAAGATGGCATGTACATATATAATGATATACAAAATAAATGCAAGGTAATTTGGGGAGAATCAAGCAGGATCAGGAAGAACCTCACAAAGGAGGTAGCATTTGAGCTGAGTTTTGAAGGAAACTAGGAGTTCTAAGAGACAGAGATGATAAGAGACAACCTTTCAGGCACAGAGAACAACGTGTATAAAGACAGGGGAAACAGAACATTGTGTATGAGGAACTGCAAGACCACTGTGATTGGACCACAGAGTGAATAATGGAAAGGTAGATTTTGGGCTGAGTTGTTTTAGACATGTTGAGTTTGAGATGCCTACAGGATACTCAGTTCAAAATGTCCAATAAGCAGTTGGTGAAGTGGAGCTAGAGCTGAGGAGAAAGCCTTAGCCTGGATATATGAATAGCTCATCTTTTTTAACAGCCAGATTCTGAAAAAAGTATTTTTGACTCCACTTATTTAGCATCTACTTGATTCTCAACTCTCTGCAATCTGAATTCTGACTCCCACTACTCAAGTAAAAACATTCTCTCCAATGATGCTGTTAAATCCAACAGCCTTTGTTCAGGTGCTTCCTTCTCTCTGACCTGCCTGAATTTGTGACAGACAGCCAAGCCCTGCCTCCACTTTCATGATCCAGCCTACAACCTCAAGAATCATAATCTCTTGAGCTTGACGCTGAAAACCCTCTACAATCTGACCATTATCTATCTTTCCAGACTTATTTTAGATTATTTTCTTTCATACACTTGACATTCTAGCCAAACTGGTTTATTAACTGTTCCTAGAATTTGACATTCCATCTCCAATTTCTGTGCCCTTGCAAAGGCTGTTGTAGCCTATTTATAAAACAATATTTCCTTTTACCTTTGCTCCCTTGGAATCCCTAGTTCTTTTTTATTTTTTAGCTTAAAAAAAAAGGATATATTTATATGCTGAGTTTAATAGTTGATACAGAAGATACCACAAATATATTGTCTTTTAAAGAACTTTTCATTGCAATTTTGGACTTTAGACATGATGCCAAATATTTGTTCATGTGCACTCATAATTATTTCCCTACATTGTTTTCTCATTTACTTAAAAACAAAAAAAAAGAACCAAGTTAAAAAACAACAAAGTTTGACCAAAGTCACTTTGATGAAATATTTTGTTACCATTTCATAATTAAATAAAATGAATACTTAACAAAAATTTTCTTAAAAATCAGAATTTCATGATTTTAGAGTATTCTATAACTTTCTGATTTTCTTGTAACTTTTCACAAGAAAATATTCAGAAAAGTTTATAAAATAGTATTATAAAAAGTTGAGAGATATAAAAATAAACAGGGCTTCTGCAGGAAATAAGACATTTTCACTGCCATAAATTTTTAGTAGGCCAAACTTAAAAACCAGTCCTCAAAAAAGATAAATACATTCTAGAAAAACAAAAACAACAGCAGCAGCAATTCCAGGGTGTGCCATTGGTTTTTCTTTTAATAACGTAACTTGCAAAAAAAAATTCATACAAAACCAATTTACAGTCAAATTCAAGTGCCTTTTTGACCCAGGCACCTTCACTACATCACCAGGTATTTGTCCATTGGACACTGCTTTAGAGCCCCCAGCAGGGTATGGAGTAGTTGAAGTCTTCCACAAAGAGATAAACAGCAATGGCATCTATGATGATTCACCAACTTGTTTAAAAGGAATTAAAAAAAAAAAAAAGGACTTCAGACCCAAATGATACAACGGTGTTAAGCTTTTCTCCCCAATCCATGCATTCAAAGCATCATCAACCTTCCAGAAATCCAGACATTTTTTCAGGTATCTAGAAAAAACACCTCCAGTCTCACATCTCCAACTCTTTTCTTTTCTTTGGCGAGGCGATGGGGTTAAGTGACTTGCCCAGGGTCACACAGCTAGTAAGTGTCAAGTGTTTGGTCTGAGGTTGGATTTGAACTCAAGTCTTCCTGACTT